CAGACGTCGCTGTGCAGCGGCTTCAGTAGCGAGCTGAACATGCTTGGCGTAATTGAGGGATAACCCCCTGACGAACGTAGAATGTGTACTGGTCATGCTCCACGGGAACGGCATCAATGTAGTCTACGACGGCGGCGCGGTCCTGTCTCAGATTAAGCCAAGTTAAGGCTACGTCTGCATGGCCGTGAGTCAACTCTCCCACCATTCCGTGCCACGTTCCGTTTTCATCCATGTTGCCGTAGCCACCTTTTAAAAGCGGAACGATGCTGTAAGTGAGATTCAGTTCACTCGCCACCAATTTGCCATAAGCGGTACAAGTAGCCGTCGTACCTGTACGAACCGTCGGGCTGAGGGTCGATGGATAAGAACGGCGGGTCATGGATGGCAGTGACCCGCAGCTTCTCATTCGGCGGCAGCTCGCTGAAGGGCGCCATGGACCAGCTGGCTCCCACCGACAGCAGACCCCCGATGTGCTCCATGGTCGCGTGCCGCCGACGGACTGCGGACACCGCCGCCGGCCGACCGGCGCCTCCTCGCGCCGTGGCCGCCCTCCGCCTGCGCACCGTGGCGGGCTGCGCCTGACACCGTGGCCTGATCAATGCAAAATGTCTCACGACATCGGGCGTGTCAGTGAGAGGACAGTGTGAGCCACTTCAACTGTACACTGCACTTATAGCGTATACATATTGATGTCATGTTTTGCGCTAACTTTATACCATGCGTGCTTCTCTGGGTACAGAACACATTCGCAATTGACACAGCGTGAACTTTTTTATCTGAGCGATTGCGAGAAAATGTTGCATTTTCATCAATTCCAAAATCGTTTTTCATATGACTGGTGACTTCAAAATCCAGTGAGTTGGTGGGGTAGTCGAAAGGCATGGGTTTTCGTCGGCTCCTGAGGGGCGTTTGGGGCCATCGCCGGAATGGCACCCCAGATATGCCAGTATCCGGCTACAAAAGGTCACGAGTGGGGAAGAGGCATTCAGGCCATTCCAAAATTTCAGCTAGCGCACTTTTTTTGTACCGTTGCGCCATTATGGTGTCGCCAAGCCATTATCATAAGACTTCAAGTAGCTGAGTCAAGTGGAGTATGCAAGTTTTGAAAAATGGGCTCAAGTAATGAAATGATTAAGTTTCGCTTCAGTTGTACCGGTGATTTGGTGCTGTTACATGGCCAGGTCCAGATCAAAATTGGCAACTCCATTCGCATAATGCGCACACTTGGAAAGGTGATCCATTTATATTTTCAAATTATTCGTTTCTACGGAGGCTTTTTCATTGCATTTTGTGTTACTTCTAGCTTGTAAGCGGTGCGTGCGAAAAACAATATCGAGAGATTTTGGGCGTTTGTCCTGTGGGAGATTCCATAACCAAAACAGACTGACGCAGCTCGAGACAACACATGACTTGTGTTGGAAACAAGGACTATGAGGACTGAAACACTCTGCGTTGCCTAGCAAACGGGGGCTTTGATTCACACTTATCTGAAATGGGGTGTTTGTTCCTCACTTCGCCACAAAAGCACAACAACTTTTTTGGAAGAAAAGTTTATCCTCTTCTTCTGTTTTTCATTTTCTGTTTTGTTTCTTATATTTGTGAAGCGTAAAAGTATACACCGTTCTTAATTCTTCTACGTTTGCAACCTTTGTGGTTTCTATCATTCTTGATAGATGGTTTTATCAAAATTCCACATGACGGGGACTACCTCAGCATTAGGTGGTTGCACCTCGACATTGGGGTAGCCTAACCCCACAAAAGCATACAATATTTCACCCCTGCGGAAAACATTGCCGAGAAGCGTGGGAATGGCGCTCAGCAGCCGACGTGGCGAGCACGGGCTCCGGCGTACACAATGCGAGGAGCTTCCTATCGAGGGGACATAGGGATAGTGTGTTCGGCCCGCCATTTCTCCAGCGTTATAATGACCGTGCCAAATATGCTTTGGATTCTTTGAGAGATTTTGTGCTTTTGCTCGCCTCGCTATGCAGAACGTATGCGTTTGATAGTCACGGGTCTCTCAGTGGTTGTGGGGGACCGTTCTTCAGATCATGAAAGTTGAGGGGGGGGGGGGGGGCGTGTCCGATATGTCCTCATGGTGCTGCCACCCCTGGTGGCGTCGCCCGTAAAAGTGCGCCCAGCACGGCACGGTGCAAGGCAAGGGTTTTAATGGTCGTGAAGACTATCAAGTACTCTAAACTTTGGCCGGCGGGGAGGAAGGAGGCACTCCCGAAGACTGAAAGGGAATGTGTCGCAAAGTCTAAATGGATTTTATGAAAAAGGAACATCCCAAACCGCTGGCATGGACCTCCCTCCCTCCCTCCCCCCCCCCCCCCCCCCGCCTGCCAAGTCTTTCTCATTCGGCTCTCCGGTTGCCTAGTCTGGGAACGAGAATGGCGCCGATAATAATCAAAGGGCTTACAAATGGAGCCAGTCCCGGTGGCTCAAAGGGCGCTCTCTAACTTCGAAGATACATCTGAGGGCAAGAAGACCGTAACACCTCAAATAATGAAAGGGTGCCACAAACTCTTAGGTGGCAGCGCACGAGGACTCAAAGACCGCAGCTGACGTCCAAAAGATGTCCCAGCACCAGATCTACAACACATTTCAAAACAAAATACAATTTCGTCCCAACCATTGATGGAATCTGGGGTCCTAAGAATTTAAGGGTCACTGGGATCTTGAGATATTTCCAAGGTTAATATTAAGCTCGACGGACGAACAAAACTTCGGGGAAGGCCCGCTCATATCCGAAAACCCCCATTGGGTTTGGCCGCGCTAAGCATAGCATGGTGCTCCCAATTTTGGAGAAGCATTCCAGTATTTACCGAGACGCTTAACATATACTAAAAGACATTCATCCCACCTGGAAATAGTGTGAGGTTTATGGACATGTCTTTTGGAATAGAAGGGCAATCCAAAGGCCCCGTAAGTGCCATGACTGACCTTGGTGCTGCGAAGGAACACTTATGGTGTTTGAAAAATACGCATGGCTATCTTCCGGGGATTCGAGTTTCCAGACACACAAGACACGTGATACACAAGTTTTACAAGACGTTGCGAAGTTTCGTAGACGCCCATGCGGAGTAAGCATCGGTCTGCTGCATGTAGCGCCTAGTATACAAGGGAAATGGAATAAATCGAAACATGAAGCTCCGTCTGCGTGTTCCATTGCAGCACCGTCGCGAACACGGTCGTGGGTCGAGTAGCTCCCGTGTGTCACGCCCAGTTGAGCGTTTTGGCAGTTCGGCAGTGATGCTCCTGAGCCGCCAACGCAGCATCACGTCCACTGTGGGCTACATCTGACACCTTAATGTGATGGCTCACACGGCCAGAGGCCTTGTCGGGGGGCAGCTGACGTTTTATGACTCGTAGTCTCATTTGCACTTGTTAATAAGCCTACCAGGCATGGAACGCAGTCAGGCTTCTGGCTTTGAATTTAGTCCATCTGTCGCAAGTCAGTCAGCTTGCTTGCGATGTGACATAGTTGGTGGTAAAAACATACTCTTACTTCCCTCACAATGTAATACATTTCATGCCAGGATGGAGCAAGTTGTTTCATTAGAAAGGAAGCCACTCAAAAGCCATTAATCACAAAAACGAAGACATGATTTCCAAAACTTTACCGCTACATGTGAAGCTGAAGGTAATAGGAGTCTGCAGATGTAAGAGTCTTAGTCTTATCCCCACTAGTTATGTCAGAATGGAGATCAGAGTAAAGACTGAAACAACTCTCCCCACTCCCCCTACTGTACCTGTGATCAAAATGTCGATTCAGGTAAAACAATTCATTAAAAAATTCACTTAGGCAGATAAACATTAGAAGAATAAGCGCATGTGAGGGCGTCTATGCCGGTATCTGTGCATATGTTTGCATTAACAATTCCAGTTATAAATATAGCGTCAATCAAGCATTCAATATCATTACGAAAGCTGCAGTCGGCGTAGGCTATGTGATAAGATGTCTTAGATATGCTTAGCCACGCATTTTTTTGTACGTCCAAGTATTCATTTAGCATTTAACAACACTTCATGGTTGGGTGTGGCATTGCTAAAAGTGAAGTACATCTGCCGAATGGCACAGACGTTATTAGTGGACAACTTGCTGTTGCTGTCATGCCATTGCACGTAGTGCTGCAAATGACGTGAGGATGGTCGTTCGGAAAGGAAACATGGCATGGCAACAAGTAAATGTCGGTTGTTTCAAAGCTGTCATGTGTCATTGCAAAGCCATGAGTTGCTGCAAGCAATTTTACGAGACATAGTCGACGGTTTTCTGAGATGAGGCACAAGGACAAAATTGTTGAGACATCTTAGTGAATGATTCAATTTAGGTTACATTTTCTTCCATTGCGACCATTTGTATCACTGTCCGAAACCAGTTCCATTTGTTGGAAACTCGTGGCCGTGCATTTGGCGTTATATAAATTCCTTAGTCCAAGTGTTTTTATCGCTGTGCCCCCCCCCCCCCCCCCACCATTACGCAAATCATGCTGTGCATTAGACAACACTGATGGTGCACCCATGCATCTGCCATGCATAGGTCTAAAAATAAGAAAAAAGCAATACACAGATTGTGCCGAGTCTCATCCGTGCGGGATTTTTGCGTCTGCCCGGCGACACAGCGGGCTCTCGCGTTGTGGGTCCCTAACCGGTCAAAGCGGGCTGGGACGTGGGCTGACATTTTGGAAAAACTGTGTCTCTAGCGGCATCCCATCGACCTGCCGCCCTGGCATAGTGCCTAAATACGCGCAGAGGCGCTCTCAGGAAAATGATCGCACCAAGGGCGATTATTTACGTGAATGAGATTTCCTGTGATCATCACCTGCGACACCATTGCGTCCTCGTTCTTATGACCTCATGTCGCTCGGGCGACCTGTCCTTTGCTTATGAAAGAACTCCGTGATAGGCGATAGCCTTGAGTGCGACATACCGCCACTGGGCGGCGCCACCGACGCTTAGTCGGTCACCGTGTGGCCTTGACTCGGTCGTCGGATGGACTCCGCTGGGGCCATGCGTGCGCTGCTCGTGCTCGCGTGGCTGGCGCTGGCGTTGGCCGAGCGGCCGGTGGTGCGGTTCGAGGACGGGGAGCTGCGTGGATTCACCCTTCACTCTTTCGATGGACGCCAGTACGCCGCCTTCAAAGGTATCCCGTATGCGCAGCCGCCGGTGGGCGACCTGCGCCTCCGACCGCCGCGCGCCCACCCCGGCTGGTCGGGGGTGCGCGACGCCGCCCGGCACGGCTCCACCTGCCTGCAGTACAACATGATGCGTAACTTCACCATGGAGGGCCAGGAGGATTGCCTGTTCGTCAACGTGTACTCGCCCCGGCTGCCAGCCGGTGACGGTGAGCCCCGTCTGCCCGTCATGGTGTGGATCCACGGCGGAGGCTTCGTCAGCGGCTCTGGCGACGCCGATATCTTCGGCGCTGACTTCCTGATGGACGAGGACGTCGTGGTCGTCACTCTTAACTACCGACTCAACGTGTTCGGCTTCTTCACCACGGATGACGCGGAGGCACCGGGCAACATCGGCCTGCTGGACCAGGTGCTGGCGCTGCATTGGGTGCGCAGCAACATCGCCCGCTTCGGCGGCGACCCGCAGCTGGTGACGTTATTCGGCGAGTCGGCTGGCGGCGCCAGCGTCTCGCTGCAGGTGATCAGCCCGCTATCCGCCGGCCTCTTCCACCGGGCCGTCAGCCAGTCGGGCAGCGCTTCGAGCTGCTGGGCACTAGGCGGACAGCAGCGCCTTCTGGCGCTACACCTCGCTGCTGAGCTCGGCTGTCCGTCTGAAGAGAGCCGGGCCGTGCTGGAGTGCGTGCGTCGCGCACCGGCGGCCGACATCATGCGCGTGCTGGGCGCGCTAGCCTCATCGACAAGCGACCTGCCAAAAAGGTTTCACCCCCGCGTGGACGGTGACGCCGCGTCGCCCTTCCTGCCGGCGGAGCCGAACGTGCTGCTCCAGCGCGGCCAGTTCAGCCACGTGCCCTGGATGATGGGCTGCAACCAGGACGAAGGCTTGTTTCTCCTCACCATCGCGCGCGCTCGCGAGGAGGCGTTCCGGCGGGCTCAGGCCGGTGATCTAGAGGCGTGGGTGTCAGAGGAGCTCATGGGTGGCGGCGGCATTTCCGGCAAGATGGAAAAGCCGCTCGATGTGGCCGCTAAGATCAGGGACTTCTTTGGGAGCCGCGGTGACGCCGCTGTCGTAGATCTACTCAGCGACCGCTTTTTCATTCTAGCCCTATCGGCCGAAGCCGACCTGGCTTCGCAGCACGTGCCCGTCTACAAGTACGTGCTGGACCACGTGGGGGCCGGCCAGCTGCGCTTTTCCGACCTGCTACAGGTCCCGGCGCCGTCCGCGTCCAACGTGACGCACGGTGACGACCTGGCCTACCTGTTCCACGGCGACCAGCAGCCGCTGCCGGAGCGTGGCTCGCCAGAGCACGCCATGGTCCGGCTGCTGGTCAGCCTGTGGACGAGCTTCGCGCGGCGCGGCTACCCCGCCACGGACGTGCTGGACGCGCCCGCCTGGCCGATCTTCACGGCGCAGAGCCAGCGCCACCTGCGGCTGAACGCGGCGCCGTCGCTGGGGGCCCGCGCCTTCGAGGAGCGCGTCCGCTTCTGGAGGAGCCTGCCGCTGGCCGAGCCATGGAACGCGCACGAGCGATCGTCGATTCGGCCGCGCGACGAGCTCTGACCGCTGTGAGGTTCATCTTGAGACCAGACTCTTGTAGATGCAGAGCGGCTGAACGACTGGCGGAATGTGCTGGGGGTTGTCATGCTGACGATAATCGACCTGCAGTGCGCCAAGAGGCACCGGTTGAACGACGTGATCGGGGAAACGTTGGTTAGATTGCCCAATGTTGATAATTTATGCTGTGATTTGGTCACCAGACACCATTGGCTTGAAATGGCGAGCTTCAACGTACCCAACGTTTGTTCGATAATGTCGTTTAAGTTACTCTCTCTGGTATACTGAAGGCTGGTTATTGTCTGTTTGGAGGCTCCGAAATCAGTCCCGGCAATCCCGGGGCTCAAGGTCTTTAGTGCCTATAACGAGGACGGCTGACGGTCGTTTTCACGACACGGGTCATTGCGGCCACGGTTGGTCTTAATGGGTGCTGGCTGTGATCATGATCCGAGATGGCACATGCTGAGCCTGCGGTGGCAAATTGTGACCGGGAATCTGGGCGGTGATAGCATAACTGGACGGTGATAGCGCCTGTCAACAACCGTGCGCGTCGGGTCGTGGGTTCGAGGCCGACAACCTACGCAATGTTTTATCATCGATCATTGATCGCGTCAGTGACATTTCATCGTTCGGCGTGTTGTCATATTATCGATTGACGTGTTGGGATAGTCGCGCTAATTGGCCAAAAACATCAAATGCACGGGCGCCTCGTTAAGCTGATTTCGCCTCATTCGGGCGTCATTTTGTCTTGAGCTTAGTAGTGTGAGCGTCGACAGGACCGGGAAGAACTTCATCCAAGTATGATGAAAATGAGCCATGAGCTTATGAATAGTTTATGAATAAAGTTGCTTCTAGAAGGAACCAACTGAACACCTCAGCTATGACTGCCGCATGTTTTGAACTTCAGTAGCTTCTCGATGAATGTACCCGTGCATCGTGATGCGTCCGATGCCCGATGCCCGATGATGATGATGCCCGATGGGGTGTGAATGAGAAGCAATGGGCAAACCACGTTAATACGCGGCTTCACATGCCCATAACGCTTGCGTTCACTCAATCAATCGTCTACTGTTAAGACTAACATGTTTCGCGCTTGGTCTGGCGTCATAAATATAACATTGTTATGCGGAGTGACATAATCGAGGCAGGAACACTGGACCTACCAGGAGTCTACCACGGCATGGGTCGCAACCCGACCCGACGCCGTCTGCAGGGCCGGCAGGCGGAGGCGCATGTCTTCACTGCCACCCTGCCGCGCAGCATCCAGTAAGTCTGACGCCGACCTGTGCAGGCGTGCGCAGCCCGCGATGGTAGTCAAAGATAAGGAGTCACGTGATGCTCAGAGTACGGAGAGCGATCAGCGAACCGGAAGCTTTGGTCTTGTAGAATCCCAGGGATGGTCACTAGCGCCGGCCCAGATTCCTACTGACATGTCACTCCGTGTGCACGGCTAAGGCTGGTGAGAGCCACCCCGATGAGAGCCTTCTGCCAGGGTGTGGCAGAAGCATCCAAGGTTCGAACCCACCGTTTGTAGTCGCGCAAGCTGGCTTGATCGGAAATGGGCCGGGCAAGCACTTCTTGTAACTTGATCAGAGGATGGATCAGCTTCGCCTGGCTCTCCGCCGCAGAACGGACGGCCACGTTATACACGTGGTACGGAATGATACCAACGATACCAAAATCGCGCTGCATGATATCGATACCGATAACGGAGTGACGCACACGGTACCTTTAATTAAGAAAGGGATCCTTTGAGCACCGTGTTTTGTTTGTCAGTCATCAAAAATACTTCCCGACACAAAAGCAGCCTCAAATGCTCACTGCACGGCCCAGGGTGATGAGCGCCACTCCGTGTGCACGGCTTGGGCTGATGAGAGCCACTCCGTGTGCACGGCTTGGGCTGATGAGTGCCACTCCATGTGCACGGTTTGGGCTGATGAGAGCCACTCCGTGTGCACGGCTTAGGATGGTGAGAGCCACTGCCGTGTGCACGGCTCGGGGTGATGAGAGCCACTCCGTGTGCACGGCTTGGGCTGATGAGTGCCACTCCGTGTGCACGGCTTGGGCTGATGAGAGCCACTCCGTGTGCACGGCTCAGGATGGTGAAAGCCATTGCCGTGTGCACGGCTCAGGGGGATGAGAGCCACTCCGTGTGCACGGCTTGGGCTAATGAGTGCCACTCCGTGTGGACGGCCCAGGGTGATGAGAGTCACTCCGTGTGCACAGCGCAGGAAGTCGGTCACTCTACGTAAACTTTGACAAGACAGACGACGAAGAAGTGGTGAAGGCCAGTCTAATTCATAACCTATTCAATGACAGGGCAGGCGAGTTCAAGTTCATGGCAGGCGAGATCATTACTCAATGGGACAGTCGTGTTACAACCAGTCCTAAATTGCAAGCTAAAAATATCCAGAAACCAGCTGCAAGAGATGGCAAACTCCGAGATGAATTCCACGGTGACGTTTGCCGAAATGGGGAATAAGAACAAGAAGATCAACAGTGCTCTATGTATAGAGGCGCCCATGGCGTCGCAAGGTGTCGTAACGCCCTGTGAGGTGACGCTACGGGCACTGATCTAGCAGTGACTGGCGCCGTCCAGCCCGAGGCCGATTGTTTACCCCAGGCCGGGATTTCTCCGGCATCCTCCCGGTGTGATGGTTAGCAGGCGCCAGTTGGTTGGTCCTGGCGCAGTCGGCGTGTTCGCTCGGTCAGGAGGCGATCCTTGACGTGAGTTGGAGGTGAGCAGGGCAGATAGCAGGCTATCATAATGGTGGATGATGGCGGAAGATGATAAGGCTGTATAAGATAGTAAGTTAGCGTGGAGGGGGACCAGTCGACGGTTGGTTCACGCGACGTCAACATGTGGAAAAGCTCGGCTTACGTGGTAGACAATGCGATCATCCTTGAACGCTGTCGGCCTGCGTTTCCGGATGTGGCAGGGACAAGTTGTATTTGCCAACGTTAATCTTACGCAAGGGCGCAGCTGGAGGCTCAGTTCAGGTTGGTTTGGGAGAGGATAACGGGTGGGTCACGGGGTCGATAAAGGGTGAAAGGCCGCTAAAAATATAAAGATAAAGGTAGTAAAAGGCCGCTAAAGAACCACCAAATACGGCCGCATAATTTCGATGGGACTCGTTTTTCCCTGTACTATTCTTCTTATCGTCCTTAATTTTTCAGCAGCCAGAAGCCACCGGAAGATATACCTGTGTCTGTATTTTAAAGACCGTGCACTGAATCAACCATTATAGAGATATTTCCTGCAGAGATATTGAAGACTCGTGAACATGCATTGCAGGTCTAAATGGGGTCAAAATGTTATATCTACTCACATGGCTAGCCCATATTCGTAGGGGATGTTCAACCTTTGTTCATTATTGAGTAGTGCAAAATTTGGTTTGTTAGTTATGAAGATCCGAGCTCACAAGCCTTAGAAACAGAAGCTCGACGGCCGGCGTTGCAGTCTCCCCGGACCTCGCGTCGTCGGCACTGTGGCAAATTATATAAGGCGGTGGTTAACGGCGAACAAAAAACAATGACGCATCTGAGTGAAATTTCTTTGGACCCCTTAGCATACCAATAAGGACGTCGAAGGAAAATTCCCGCTGCGTTTTTGAAGCCTGCTGAGTCCTTTATTTATATTGATGATGAGAATGAATTAGCATCTACAGCACCGCGAACTCGTGATAGAATCTGGTGGTGCTGCTGAAAAGTTAACGTAGAATCTCTATTTTTGTGTTGCTGTACAGCTGCAGCTGTGACGTGTTGTTTCTTGGTGTTTTCAGGTAACGATCTCAAGGTTGAATAGGTAAAATATACGCCCCAGTCTTAACTTCAAACTGTGCGAATTTATTTTGAAAGGATTCCGGAAGCATTGCTTCACAGCGATCGTTCTCGCGCGCCCGACGCCCACCGCCTGGGTCAGCTACAGCGGCCAACTCCGGTCGGTTCGGCGGAAACCCAGCCCCGGCCGTCAGTTTCCTGCTCTTAGGATTGCGAATGCGTAGACTCATACCCTGGTATCGCATGTAGTTTTTTACCAGACGAATCTGTAGAAGCATAGATGTCCCTGGACAAACGTATTGACCAGACGGCTCATTATCGCCTCAGGTGTCCAATAATTGACAGACTCGAGTTAGGCTTAACGACCCTTGGTTGAAATGGGATGGGGAGCCCCCGCTCGGTACTAGGGTCCCTGAATGATATTGTGTCATGATGGACTATAATCGTAAGTCCTCATATCTCCTGTCATTGTCGGATGACCCCGACCAACGCGAGAGGCCCTCTGGCGTTCAGGTTCCCGTCTGTCTTTCTCTTCAGCAAATACTTAACTGTCCGACTCGGGCTCCTCGCAGACATAAGACCCCTGTTAGACACTGCGGCCCCGATCAACACAGATCCCTCATTGCTTCAGGGACCGCGATTAGTGCACATATCGGGCACCGGCCTTGTTCCTGCTTGGGAAGCGGACCCCAGGACTCTGACCGACACGGAGCCGACTGTTCGGTACTGGTGGTGCCTGACCGATATAAAGGCCCGTATCGACTCGGGACTCCGGCCGACGTGAAGGGTCCTCCGACAGGCGTTTGAGGGTTCTGCACTGTCGGCCCCTTAAAATGACCCTCGCCCAATCATTCGGGCACTTCGGGCATTCAAGTCGGGTTCTTGTTCGTTCGTTTTCAAGTTCGGGGCCAGGGGACCCAAGGGACCAGGTGCCTAAAGGGATCTGAGGGGGTCAAGGGTGTCTTAGGCACCACGTGCCCCTGTGCCCGCTTTGCCTGGGCCACTGTACGTTATTCATGGAGGGAGAGGGGTCTTTGATGGACCGTGATATAGTGTATCACGGTGCATCAAAGGGGAGGGTAGCGTAACATAATGGTCAGGTGTGGTCGTAACTAATGCTTTGGTGCTTTTTAAATCTCGCAAAATCTAAAAAGCAGATACCGTTGGCTTCTTATCACGACAAGCCACGCATCCGCGTTCAGTTCGCACCTTGAGCTTAAAAGCACGTCACTTTTTGAGGCGTTACGCTTAATGCATAGAATTCAAATCTGATCACGACCACGCGCTCGCCATGACGTCAGATATTCGCGCTTTTGATAACCTGGCCTTTACATGAAGCCTTCAGGCAGCTAGAGGTAAAGCACTAGGTCATTTCCAGTTAGCTAAGGGTTCCTTTTTTGCTCATATTTGTACATGCGGAAAACCCGGTTACGCATCACTCAGTCATTAATACATTAAATCCAAATCCGAAGATAGCCACGGACTATCTTTGCAACTCAATGAAATGCACTTTAAGCGACCCGGCCGCTAAAAGTCACCATTCAGCCTCTAGACAGTAGGAGGTAAAAACGCGGTAGCGAGCTGCTTCGTTAGTGCAGCATCGAAACCAAACTCAAACCATCTAAGTGCGCGTCATGCCGTCAGATATATGGATTCTCAGCAGCCTGGCATCTGAAGTTTGCCGTACAGCCTCTAGGCAATGAGCGGAGAAAACTCGGTTGCGCATCCCTCTGTTGATATTGCACCCGCGTACTGGACCCCCAGTCGCCTGGAGGCTACGCAGTCACACTGCAAGGTCGGGCTGTGAGAGGTGCATGTGCCTGCTATGGCGAGCATGTAGCCATTGTCATACTCGGATTTAATGCAATACCAATACAGTAACGATGGACCATGCTGCTTACTCCTCATTGCCTCAGGACTATAGTATTCTCCAGGGGTCGGGAATTGAATATCAAATGTTCGTCTACCTGACGTTATGGCAAGCACGTAGATGTGCTCAGATCAGACATTTGCCTGGAGCCCTCCAAAAGGTCTCAGGATCTCATTAACACGGTACCTTATGGGATCATGGGTCCACGCTTGGGATCCAGCCACATATCTGGCTCGGATGTGGTTTCGATGCAATAATGACGGAGCACTTCATTTGCCTGTCGGCTTTCTGATGGCATTTACAGGTTATGTCGCTTATGATGCCAGTGCTCGCCACAAATCCATGACCGTATTTTGACCCTAGATTCCGGGGGGTGTTACACAGGTGACCCAAGCATCTGGCTGTTGGAAGATTTGGATTTATGTTCTATTGACG